GGAGGTGAGCTTCCCTCCCTCCAGGACATCTACACCCAGAGATGTGTGAGGAAAGCATGGAAGATAATCAGAGACTCCTGCCACCCGAGCCACGAACTCTTCTCACTGCTACCATCAGGCAGACAGTACTGTAGCATCAGGACCCGAACCAACAGAATGCAAGACAGCTTCTTCTCGCAGGCCATCAGACTACTGAACTCTAGATAGCAAAACGATACTCACCCACCTACCCCTACCCCTCACACCGGATATAATTTACACACCAGCCACACTGACTCTGACAGCACTGTAGCATGTCTTGCACTGCATAACATAGAACACATGCAGCTCCATCTTCTCTCCATTTTACAGAATTCTGAGAACAGTAACAGATTATGAACAGCAAACTAACAAACTAAACAAACAACAATTACCAAACAGTAAATGGAAAATATAAAATAATGTTTGGATGTCACAATGTGGAAGAGAAAACAACAAACTACTGCACTGAACTTCACAGTGACAGGGGAGACAGCACAGTCTAGGCAAGGGGCTCAAGGAGACCACTACTTAAATACCCTAATAAGGGGAGTGGTCGCTGAGCTGGAACACAACAATCCGCAAATAGCAGTTTCCTCAGGCAAGGCTGAAGATTGCCCAGACCACAGACATAGTTTATCTACTTAAGGACTCAGCACCTACTGGGGAGGAACCCAACCTAGTCATAGAAGCCAGGCTGGAACACAGCTGCCCTCAGACTGCTTTATTCCAGACCAGAGTAAGTTCAAGCTGGAGCATAACTATCCGCAGACAGCTACACTCTGAGCAGGGGCTGTCCACTTAAATGCCCTGAGGAGGGGGAACAGTATACTCAGCCCAACTTAACATGCGGGATTCAGAGGGACTGCCCACTTAAAAACAGCCTGAGACCTGGGCAGGCCGCCCACTTCTAAACCCATCTGGCTTAACACAGGAAGGGACAAAAATTTCCCCAAAATCAAGCTAGCAATAGGCCATCCACTTGAAAAACCCTAACAAAGGGGGGAAAGCCCAAACTTAGCATGTGGGATTCAGATGGACTGCCTGCTTGGAAGATACCCTGAAATCAGGTGAGGCTACTCTACCTTACTACCCTGGCTGAGAAATGCTCTGGAGGGGGAGCGAGGCATTCTGGTCTCTTCTGCACTTGACTCCTGGAAGGGGGAGGAGCAGGAGAGTACTGGCCACTAGCCCTTTCTGTGATCCTCAGATCATGACGGGCCAGACTCCTCAGAGGTAAAGAGGACCTAAACTGGCTAGGCATGAACCTCCCGAAAGCTGCCGACCGCACCCACGCCTTCCTGAACTCATAGACCATTGCCTCGATGGATATGTCAAAGGAGCCCTGACGGCCAAACTAACTAAAGATACAACATCATGAGCATCATGGCCACCAACGCTCTCAAGCATTGGCAGCAGAAAACTGACTGAGGCGCGGCACAACAGTTGTTTCAGGGGACGCCCCCAAACTAATCTAGGTCTCTAAAACACCCTGGGAGAGCAGCTCGCAAGCATCTCTCCACAGAGCATCTGATATATCCACGCCAAGCAAGACTCTTCACACACAATTATTTGCATATTAGAGAAGCACAGCCTAGCTGAATATAGCTCCGCTCGTTATCTCGCAAACTCGGGGCTAAAAACGACTCAGTGCTCACACTTAATCGTCATAACAACACAAACATCTGCAGCATCAGACAGCCCGTTTAGAGAGGGTATGCGGATCCCGCAGATCAAAACTATTGCCGTGAGCGGAGCTTTGACATTGTGACTCATCACAATGAGCACATAGCACTGAACGCGCGTGCTCCTTGCCGAGACAATAACGCAAAAGACAGAATATGCCCTCAAGTGTTAGAATCCAAACACGGAGGCACACATTTCCTAAAGCGCTGCTCGACTCACCAGGATCATTCACACACACTAAGGAAACAGACGGCTCCTGAAGACAACAAAAGTTGTTGACGTTTTCTGCAGGCGCCCTCTTATACTTCCGGGCACCCGCCTGTGACGTCACGGGCTACGTGGGCCAATTGTATCAGAGTGGTTTCACATGTGCTTCATACACATGTTCTGGTACCAGTCCTACTGGCGGCAGTCAAGGTTGTTTCTGATTTTAAATATTTAGGAGTAATTTTTTGATTCCCAACTGTCAATAACAAAAGCATGCCAAAAAGGTAGCCAATATTATTCAGTTTAACTTTAGGCATATATAACCATTCATAACCGTACTTAACAATAGAGGCAGCAAAACTTTTCATGCACTCTAAGGTTTTTACTTCTATTTCTCATATTGTTTTAATAGTTGGTCACAAGCAAGCACAACAATTTTAAAATCAACTGAATCACTTTACAAACAGATGCTTAAAATATTTGATCAGAGGACTAATAGTTATCAATATTGCAACATAATTTATTGAGTTTTGATAATATTAAACGTTTGGTTGATGCTTGCTTGATTTTTAAGATTCTAAATTGTTGTGCACCAATTTTTTCATCTGGTTGCCCAGTATTACTGGGTCAGTGGTTCACCATCATCCTAAATGAATGGACATTACCTACCTCTAGAGATTTCAGGTTCTTCCCATCAGTGTCCCTGAAGGAACGCTTCATGAAGGCTTGTGTTGCCGTGCTGCTAAGATGTTGGTGTTCTGAGGACACATCCTTCAGTTCCAGAGGGAAGGAGTCCTTCAGCTTCTCCATTCCACTTTGGTAAACCTGAAGGCCCTCCTTCACTGCAGCCTCATTCTCAATCGTTGCCATTGCTATTACAGCGTTCTCCAGACATGGCACAGCCCCACTTGAGATGGTGTCCACATATGTTTTAGCCAGATGACCCAGAACTTCAGAGAAAGAAAGAAATTAAACACAGTGATTAAAAATTTATTTATAAGCAGATGGTTTTCTGTATGCACATGCAAACTCTTCAAATTTTCTTTCGAATCACCTCTTCCAGTGACTGTGTGTCCATCTTTCAGCCTCTTCACACAGCTGTCATGAAAGACAAACTGGCAGAAATGATCTGTGACCTTCAAGAATTTAGAGGAAATATATTTCTCATATTGTTTTAATAGTTGGTCACAAGCAAGCACAACAATTTTAAAATCAACTGAATCACTTTACAAACAGATGCTTAAAATATTTGATCAGAGGACTAATAGTTATCAATATTGCAACATAATTTATTGAGTTTTGATAATATTAAATGTTTGGTTGATGCTTGCTTGATTTTTAAGATTCTAAATTGTTGTGCACCAATTTTTTCAGCTGGTTGCCCAGTGTTACTGGGTCAGTGGTTCACCATCATCCTAAATGAACGGACATTGCCTACCTCTAGAGATTTCAGGTTCTTCCCATCAGTGTCCCTGAAGGAACGCTTCATGAAGGCTTGTGTTGCCGTGCTGCTAAGATGTTGGTGTTCTGAGGACACATCCTTCAGTTCCAGAGGGAAGGAGTCCTTCAGCTTCTCCATTCCACTTTGGTAAACCTGAAGGCCCTCCTTCACTGCAGCCTCATTCTCAATCGTTGCCATTGCTATTACAGCGTTCTCCAGACATGGCACAGCCCCACTTGAGATGGTGTCCACATATGTTTTAGCCAGATGACCCAGAACTTCAGAGAAAGAAAGAAATTAAACACAGTGATTAAAAATTTATTTATAAGCAGATGGTTTTCTGTATGCACATGCAAACTCTTCAAATTTTCTTTCGAATCACCTCTTCCAGTGACTGTGTGTCCATCTTTCAGCCTCTTCACACAGCTGTCATGAAAGACAAACTGGCAGAAATGATCTGTGACCTTCAAGAACTCAGAGGAAATGTCAGCAGGATTCAAGCTCTCCAGGCTAGACATATTTTCTGGGGCGGTTGGAAAGGGGAAAGTGAAGCACTTCCTGGAAGGGAAGAATTTTTGGATGCATTCCCTGGGAAAGTTGTACTCCATCACAATTCTCGTAGTGCCTAGAAAAGATGAGCACATTCTCTAGCTGCTCTCAATTCTAGAAAAGAGCATGTCTGTTCTAGGAGTGTAGCTAGTTGAGCTACTGGACATAAAATGCTTAGAAAATAGAACGCTTGAATAACAAAACAATTCAGCACAGTAACAAGAACTAGTTGTGATAGTGATTATAAGGACTATCTGCAGTATTTTTAAATTACCATGTTTCAGCTTCAGAGCAAACTCTAGATACTCATTCTCTGTTGCATCTTTGCCATTGATTTTTAGCTCCAGTGTGAAGTCCCTCACAGCCCAGATGAAACTAGGGAAGAACTTCACAAACTCGCTTGAATCATCGGCATCCTCATCTGATGATTTGACCTTGATGCACTCTGATAGTTCAGTGACATATCTGACAGTTTGTTCAGGCATGAGTACAAAGCAACAACAACTCATGATGCATAACAAAACATATATTATTCCATGAGGTACAGTAATAAGTAAATTCACAACACCAAGGCTAAATGCTTTTCAGTATGACTAATGATCAGCAATGTTCCCTCTAAGCTGCGTGTGAGTGCGGCCTCGTACCTCTTACGTCGTGAGCGCGCAGAAAAATAATAATATGCCACGCACAGGACAGATGCAAAAATGAGTTGGGGAAAGGTTAAATTCTAGTAAATGTGAAATAATTGCAATGTTCGGGCAAACAGCTATGGAGTTGGTGTTGCTATAGAGTTAGAACCGGTGAAAAGTTTAATATATATATTTATTGAAGATATATATATTTAATCTCTTTATTTTCATTTTCTTAAGGAAAACATACATGTACAATACCACCAATGCCATAACTGTACAAGGTTAGATTACTTGTCAAGGCACTCTAGACCGTGCCATAGTACATGCTACATTAGACTTGACACTTATAGCAAAAAAAAAAAAAGAATTTAGAACACCCCCCTCCCACCCAAAATATTTATTGAAAATATTAATTTTTTATGTTATATTATATTAGATTAAAAGCCTAATAAATAATTGACCTCAAAAAGGGAATTCATGAGCAATAAATGCTTCATTTTTTGCATATTAGCTATATTCTATTCTATTCTGTTCTATTCTATTATTATAAAGAATTGAACTATTCTGTGTGAGATTTTTTTTTTAATGATTTTTTTAATAGAATTTCTTGGTAAGTAACACAGCTCTGTAAAAAATGTTTTCTCAGATAACCTAAAACGTGCATCATTTAGTTGCATCAAGGATTAAATCAAATATAAATAGCACATTATAGTTAAAAGTTACAAATTTTTTTGCGCTGTACAGGTCTGGTATACTTTGGTATAAAGAATGTTTTTGCTCAGGTGGCCGAAATGTCCCTGTGGCGAGGGGGGCGTGGTTCAGCGAGGTCTGCAGCGGGAGAGAGAGTTGGGAGACGAGCGGTGAGTAAGTGGGCCAAACACCTGTGTCTTGTTCCAGTAATTGGCGTGGAGAGACCGCATAAAGAGGCCCGGGAATGAGCTGGCAGGGAGAGAGAGCCCTTTGACGACCTCAAAAGGGCCATCGGGTCAGCCGAAGCCCGGAGCAACATCGCCAGCGATTCCGTTCGCTGGACCTGGGCGAGAGCGGCCGACTCTTCGTGCTGGCCCAACGGCTCCGGGACTCATGTCGCAAGTGGCTACTGGCTGAGGGAAGCGACGTCGAGCACATCATCGACCGGGTGGTACTGGAGCAGTTCATCACTCGGCTGCCAAAGAAGACGGCACTCTCTCTCTTCCCCTTTTATTTTCTCCCTCTCTCTCTGCCTCTCGACCTGTCCCTCTTCCCAGGTCCCGTCCTCCAGGTCCTCCGCGAGTCCCGCCCCGAGGGCGGGGTGGGGCCGGACTGGAGTATGCTACTGGCCCGAGAGCTCCGCCCAGGGGGGCAGGGCTGACCACGGCTGGGATTGATGCCGCGTCTGGTTCCCCGCTCTCTTTGGCCTGCTTTTAAGGAATTATTGGGATGCTTGTGTGCGGATGTCTCTTGGGAAAAGAAAAAGCAGGGAAGGGGGGCGCTCGTGCAGGTGGGAGAGGCTGAACGGGGACCACTGAGATCTGTACCAGGGGAACCGAGTGAAATCGAGAGGCTGATCCCCTCAGGACGCGATGATTTTCCTCTGGAACAGTCTCAGGACGAGTCATTGAAACATGCTTTTGAACAGGTCCGTTATATCGACAGTCAACCTCTCCAACCTGCTCGTCCGCTTTCCTATCCATATTTTGCGATTATAAAAGACCGGTTGTATCGAGTGACCCAAGACGCTCAGACAAAGGAAGATACAACACAGCTGTTAGTACCAAAAAGCCGTTGGGAAATGCTTTTCCAGGCAGCTCATTGTAATCCCATGGCTGGGCATTTAGGTCAAACAACAACACTAAATCGTCTCATGGCCCGTTTCTTTTGGCCGGGCATTCACGAGAACGTGTGCAGGTGGTGCGCGTCTTGTCGTGAATGTCAGCTGGTAAATCCACCGGCCTCCCCAAAAGCGCCATTGCGCCCTCTACTGTTAATGCAGGTCCGCTTCGAAAGAATTGGGATGGACCTCATCGGGCCATTAGAGCGAATCGCAAGAGGGCATCGTTTTGCATTAGTGCTGGTAGACTACGCAACACGATATCCTGAGGCAGTGGCGCTCCGCAGCATCTCCGCCAAGAGTGTTGCAGACGCACTGTTTCAATTAATCTCCTGAGTGGGGATCCTGAAAGAGATCCTCACTGACCAAGGCACAGCGTTTATGTCACGTACATTACGCGAACTGTACGAATTATTGGGCATTAAGTCGATTCGAGGTCCCGCAAGCCTCCACGGGGTTTTCCCCCTTCGAGCTTCTTTATGGACGTCAGCCCCGGGGGGTTTTAGACGTCCTGAAAGAAACTTGGGAGGACGGACCTTCTCAAAGTAAGAATGAAATTCAATATGTAATGGACCTGAGAACAAAACTCCACACTTTGGGGTGGCTATCTATGGAGAATTTGTTACAGGCCCAGGACAAACAAAGCCAGCTGTACAACAGGGGAACCTGCTTACGAAAATTTGCACCGGGAGAGAAAGTACTTGTATTACTCCCAACTTCGAGTTCTAAATTACTTGCAAAGTGGCAAGGACCGTTTGAGGTCACACGGCAAGTTGGAGATCTCGATTATGAGGTGGTTCGAACAGATAGGAGCGGGGCACGTCAAATTTACCACCTCAACCTCCTGAAAAAATGGAGCGAGGCGGAGTCAGTAATGCTGGCGACGGTAGTGAGTGGAGAAGATGATCTCAGGCCAGAGGTGAGCACTAAATCTCAATCTCTCGCTCTGGCCCTGGGAGGGGATCATCTCTCGCCCTCCCAACTCATTGATGTGGCCAAGTTGCAGGCAGAGTTTGCCGATGTGTTCTCGCCCCTACCTGGTCGAACGAATCTCATTCAGCACCATATTGAGACCGAGCCAGGCGTAGTAGTGCGCAGTCGGCCGTATCGTTTGCCTGAACACAAGAAAAAAGTGGTTCAGACCGAGTTAGAGGCAATGCGTGCGGTTGGGCGTGTGGAGGTCAGGTATCTGGGCTTCCACTTGGGTCACGGGCAGGTGCGTCCCCAAATTAATAAGACGGCAGCGGTTGCAACTTGCCCGAGACCTAAGACCAAAAAGGAGGGGAGACAGTTCTTAGGTTCCTATTATAGAAGGTTTGTGCCTAATTATTCGGACCTCACCAGCCCTCTGACTGATCTCACTAAAAAGGAAGCACCAGATCCGGTCCAGTGTCAGCAGGCTTTTACCCAAGTAAAGGCTGCTCTGTGTGGCGGGCCGCTCTTACATTCTCCTGACTTTTCTCTCCCCTTCTTGTTGCAGACTGACGCATCGGACAGAGGGCTGGGTGCAGTCCTGTCCCAGGAGATAGAGGGAGAGGAGCGGCCGGTGCTGTACATTAGTCGCAAGCTCTCGAAGAGAGAGACTAAGTACAGCACCATAGAGAAGGAGTGTTTGGCCATCAGGTGGGCTGTCCTCACCCTCCGATATTATCTCTTGGGATGGGAATTCACTCTCTGTTCGGACCACTCCCCTCTGCAGTGGCTCCACCGCATGAAGGATACCAACGTGTGGATCACTCATTGGTATCTAGCTTTACAGCCTTTTAAGTTCAAGGTGGTCCAAAGGGGGGGGGGGGGGCTGCAGTGGGGGTATGTGGTGAGGGAGGCGTGGTTCAGTGAGGTCTGCAGTGGGAGAGAGAGTTGGCGAGTCGAGCGGTGGGTAAGTGGGTCAAATGCAAATGACAAACACCTGTGTCTTGTTCCAGTAATTGGCGTGGAGAGACCGCATAAAGAGGCCCGGGAATGAGCTGGCAGGGAGAGAGAGACCGACTGCTGACTGGTGGGGAGACTGTGCCTGCTCTGGAGAGCCCTGTGATTTTGCATATGCAATTGTGCTATACTGAGCGCTGGTAGCGCGACGTTCTGTTTATGTGTTTGAAGCAGAATAAAATCACCAGCAGCAGTCAAGCCGACCTCGTCCTCTTCCTTCTCAAGTCATTGACTTTTTTACAGTCCCCCCAATAGAGAAAGTTTTTGCTCAGCAAGAAAAAACATAGAGGGAACATTGATGATCAGTTGTTGACTTAAACCATGACAGAAAAAATAATGTAATTAAGTTACCACTTTAAATATTATGCAACAGTGTGAGTGAACCTGCATTTCTGTTTGTATAATTCCAATTTAGGATAGCAACACAGCAGTTCTGGAATAAAAAATGCGCTCATTAATAATAATAATAAGTGCATAACAAAATGCATTTTAATTAAGTTCTAAATATTATAAATATTTAAAAGGCATATTTTAAAAGTGTATGTAGGTGTAATATGAAACAGTTCTATCAAGTGAAATATTCAATCCAAGTTTGCAATTGCTTTTATAGGGTTTATAATGTTGAGCACTGTGTAATGAACAAAATCTGACAATTTAATCATGAACCGTTGAGGTAAGCATCCCTGCCGACTCTACAGAAACAAAAGTAAGTGGAGCAGGAGATGCACAGCTATAAGTCACAATCAGTCTATTTTTGTAGTGAACACAAACAAGGCATCCAGTTCTTTTTTAGGGAATGAAAGCCAAATAATGTGTTTACAGCTGGGTTTTGCAACATCTGTGGATGCATAGCTCCACTGTAAGCGGTAGGGAATACCATCTGCTCTGGCAAGCTTACTATGTGGACAGCTTGGTAGTCACGCGACTTCTACATGTGTGCTGATCATGTGACCCATGTGTGGAGTTACTTCCAATGTTTTTACAACTGAAGATGGTGTATGAATGTCTTGTTTCTTTTCGTATAGTCCGGTGATTTTTAATAAAGAGTTTGTTTGAACCATAGACTGTAAAAAAAGATGGACGACGCGTCTCCTATTCCTTCCACTGTAGAAAA